ATGGGGAATCCCCAGGGGACAGGCTACCAGCATGACAATGAATTCCTGAGGAGACGGTCTATTATAATACATGGATTATTCGAATCTAGGGCACCAACAAGACAAGAGAGAATAGAAACAGAAAAATACGAATTGCACGAGATATTGAGGTGTATTGGAGCAGAGATGGCAGAACGCGAGGTGGATATCAATCGACGGGTTGGACCTTACAATTGTACCAAGAAGAGACCTGTTCTGGTGCAATTCTCCAATGAGGAGGCAGTGGAGTACATAATGAGGAGCAAGCACTTACTCAGAGGAAGTGAAACCCATTACAATGTGTTTATAGAGAGGTTTATGACGAAAGATGAGCAAACAGCCCACAAAAATAGATGGCAACAACGACAACGTACTAGCCTCCCAGGTAGTCTCACCTCCCAGGTCACATCCCAGGTCACCTCCCAGGTCACCTCCCAGGTCACCTCCCAGGTCGCATCCTCCCCAACTCAGCCCTCCTATACATCCCCCCTGCCTCAGCCTCCCAAAACCCCCCTGTCCCTTCCACATTTGCACCTCCACAACGATTCCCCTGCCCCTGCTACATCACACTTGTCAGCGACCCCAGTGGGTCAAGCCATGCCCTCCCCAAACCCACCTTCCCATCCCCCCTCCCCAAATACCCCTTCCCACTCCCCTGCCCCTTCTACCCCATTGACTTCAATTCCATCTACTCCATCCCAGCTTCCACTGCACCCCTCTTCCACTCACCCCCAAACCCCACCCAACCCTCACCCCTCCTATGCACCTCCAGCCCACATTTAACCCCCTCACCTTGTGACCCCCTAACACCTTCCCCCATCTCCCTCTTCCCCTCTTCTACCCCAAAACCCCCACCTACCCCCGATTCCCCCCTAACTAATATACCCTCTCTTCCACTCCCAGCACCCATGCTCCATTCTCATCTCACCTCAGTATCCCTCTTCCCCCCAACCTCTCAACCTCTATCTGACTCTCAGTCTCACTCTATTTCTCAACCCCCCTATGCTATTCAGACCCCTAACTTTCAGACCCATTATGCCCTTCCTACCCCCCTAGATGCCCAGACCCCATTCGCCTACCAGGCACTCCCAGGCACCCCCCTAGCACCCCCCCACTCGCCCCCACAGCCCCCACTTGCCCCCCAGACACCCCCCAGTTCCCCCCAGACCCCTGGTGAAAGGGGGAACTCTGACACCCGAGTTTCCAAGAAGAGTCTCAAGGTTTGGTACACCAATGCTGATGGGGTAGCCAATAAAGCAGAAGAGATAAAAGAAAGAGTTAGTGAGGCAGACCCAGACATAGTGGCAATAGTGGAAACTAAAATAAATGGCATGATCTCGGATGCAATCTTTCCAGAGGGGTACCAGGTGATAAGAAAAGAAAGGACACAGAGACAGGGAGGAGGAGTGGCACTACTAATAAAGCGGAAATGGAAGTTTGATGAGCTGGAAAATCCGGGTACCAATGAAAGCACAAGCTTCATACATGGAACCCTGACAGTGGATGGGAAGAAGATTGTAATCTTGATACTCTACAATCCCCCACCAAACAGTAGAAGGCCCAGGCAGGAGTACGAGGACAGCAACAAGACATGTATGGATGAACTGCAGAGGGCAGCAACTTTAGCGCATAGAATGAGAGCGAAGCTGCTGGTCATGGGGGACCTAAATCACGGAGAGATAGATTGGGAAACGAGGAATCCCCATGGCGGGGAGGAGACCTGGGGAGCGAAGCTGGTAGACGTTATTGACAGGAATTTCCTAACACAGCATGTGAAAGAAGATACTAGGGAAAGAGGAGGGGATACGCCCAGCCTATTAGATCTCATTATCACTCAGAATGTAGAAGACATCGAGCAGTTGGAACATGAAATACCACTAGGAGCTAGTGACCATTGTGTCCTAGCCTTTGACTACATGATGGAGCTTAAAATTGTGACCAAAGGACAAGAGGTCCGGGAAAGGAGACTTGATTACAGAAAAGGGGACTACAGAAGGATAAGGGACTACCTGGGAGAAGTGCAGTGGGAGGAAGAACTTAGAGGAAAAACAGTGCAAGGTATGATGACCCAAGTCATATTGAAATGCAAGGAGGCTGAAGATAGATTTATTCCAACAATAAAGACAAAAAGCAGGAGGGAATATAATAACCCATGGTTTAATAGACAGTGTCAGGAAGCAAAGGTGAGAAGCAGGAGGGAGTGGAGGAAGTACAGAAGACAAAGGACAGAGGACAACAGGATTAGATGTAACAGAGCTAGGAATGATTACATTAACATAAGACGAGTGTCGGAAAGAAATTATGAGAACGATATTGCAGTCAAAGCGAAAAAGCAACCAAAATTACTACATAGCCATATAAGAAGGAAGATGTCGGTAAATGACCAAGTGACAAGACTGAGGAAAACAGAAGGGGCATATACAGAAAGCGACAAGGAAATCTGCGAGGTACTGAATGCAAAATTCCATGGAGTGTTCACTACCGAGCCTGAGCAGCTCCCATTGTTAGAAGAGATTACCCAAGATGAAAGACTATCAGATATAGAGGTGACAGCAGAGGATGTAATGAAACAGTTGACAACACTGGATGCAAATAAAGCTGTTGGACCAGACAAAGTATCACCGTGGATACTTAAAGAGGCAGCGCAGGCTCTCAGCGTGCCTCTGGCAATGATCTTCAATGAGTCACTTATGTCGGGAGAATTGCCCAGTTGCTGGAAGGAGGCAAATGTCGTACCGATTTTCAAAAAGGGGGATAGGGAGGAGGCACTTAACTACAGACCCGTATCACTGACAAGCATCCCCTGCAAAATACTTGAAAGAATAATTAGGCTAAGACTTGTTGAGCACCTGGAGAGCATTGGGTTTGTAAACAAGCACCAACATGGGTTCTGGACAGGGAAATCATGCCTAACAAACCTTTTAGAATTCTATGATAAAGTAACAAGGATAAGGCAGGACAGAGAAGGCTGGGCAGACTGCATATTTCTTGACTGCCAAAAGGCCTTTGATACGGTACCGCACATGAGACTGCTATACAAACTTGAGAGGCAGGCAGGAGTAAGCGGAAAGGCCCTAGTATGGGTGAAGAACTACCTAACAGGAAGGAGCCAGAGGGTAATGGTAAGGGGCGAAAAGTCGGACTGGCGAACAGTAACAAGTGGAGTACCTCAAGGATCGGTGCTGGGACCAATCCTCTTTCTAATTTACGTAAATGATATGTTTACAGGAGTGGAATCATACATGTCAATGTTTGCAGATGACGCAAAATTAATGAGAAGAGTTGTGACAGACGAGGATTGTAGGATCCTCCAAGAGGACTTAAACAGGCTACAGAGATGGTCAGAGAAATGGCTACTGGAGTTTAACACCAGTAAATGTAAAGTTATGGAAATGGGATCAGGTGACAGGAGACCAAAGGGACAGTACACAATGAAGGGGAACAGCCTACCTGTAACGATTCGAGAAAGAGACCTGGGAGTGGATGTGACACCTAATCTAACTCCTGAGGCACATATAAATAGGATAACGACAGCAGCGTACTCTACACTGGCGAAAATTAGAACTTCATTCAGAAACCTAAATGAGGAAGCTTTTAGGGCGCTTTACACTGCCTACGTGAGACCCGTCTTAGAGTATGCCGCGCCATCATGGAGCCCCCACCTGAAGAAACACATAAAGAAACTGGAGAAGGTTCAGAGGTTTGCGACGAGGCTTGTCCCAGAGCTACGAGGGATGGGATATGAAGAGCGGCTGAAGGAACTGAACCTTACGACACTAGAGAAAAGAAGGGAGAGAGGAGATATGATAGGGACATATAAAATACTCAGGGGAATTGACAAAGTGGAAATAGATCAAATGTTCACACGTAATAATAACAGAACGAGGGGACATGGGTGGAAACTGGAAACTCAGATGAGTCACAGAGATGTTAGGAAGTTTTCTTTTAGCGTGAGAGTAGTAGAAAAATGGAATGCACTTGGGGAACAGGTTGTGGAAGCAAATACTATTCATACTTTTAAAACTAGGTATGATAGGGAAATGGGACAGGAGTCATTGCTGTAAACAACCGATAGCTAGAAAGGCGGGATCCAAGAGTCAATGCTCGATCCTGCAAGCACATATAGGTGAGTACATATAGGTGAGTACACACACACACACACACACACACACACACACAGACACACAGACACACACACACAGCTCACACAGGTCTGGTAACTCCGACACACACCAGAGGCGGACCCTGCAAAAGTTTGTTTTAACAATACTAGTCTCCTGTGTGGCTCCCTGTGTGGCTCCTTGTGTGGCTCCTTGTGTGGCTCCCTGTGTGGCTCCTTGTGTGGCTCCCTGTGTGGCTCCTTGTGTGGCTCCTTGTGTGGCTCCTTGTGTGGCTCTCTGTGTGGCTCCCTGTGTGGCTCCCTGTGTGGCTCTCTATGTTACTCCCTGTGTGGCTCCTTGTGTGGCTCCCTGTGTGGCTCCCTATGTTACTCCCTGTGTGGCTCCCTATGTTACTCCCTGTGTGGCTCCCTATGTTACTCCCTGTGTGGCTCCCTGTGTGGCTCCCTGTGTGGCTCCCTATGTTACTCCCTGTGTGGCTCCCTGTGTGACTCCATATGTGACTCTTTATATGACTCTTTATATGGTTCCTTATATGACATATGACTCCTTATGTGACTTCTTACGTGGCTCCTTATGTGAGGAAGTTGTGCTGTGGACGGGACTGTGTAATCTTGTCTGCACTTCTCATTAGTCGGCCTTGACATAAGTGTGATGTAAACTGTCAGTTCTCTCTCTGGGTCTTGTTGATGGCAGGACGCGTCTAGATGCGAGCTGCTTGGTGTCCAATTGGGTGAGAGTGCTTGATGTTGAGTGCTTCGGCAATGACTAGTTTCCCTTACTTTGTGACTGTGTTGGTCGCTGCATTAATGTTGCTGATGATACTCTGCTACTAAGTGTACTGATGATGATACTGTGTTGCAGGCCCCGGAGGAGGCGGTACCCTGGGAAGGGGTGCTGGATGCGCGCCAGTTCGGCGCGATGTGTTACCAGCCGCTGGAGAACGATGTGTGGGACACCGTCGAGTCCAATGTTGACATCGACCACCTCGAGGACCAGCTGAGGAAGGCTCTGGCGATGGAGCTCGGGGAAGAACTGCACGAGGAGGAAGTGGAGGAGCTGGAAGACGAAGTGAGAAAGACGGTGGAGGAGGCGCAGAGACTGAAAAAGAAGATAAAGGATAAGGAATGCCGAGAGGTGGAAGTGGACGTGGCGAGGCCTGAGTGTTTGGAGTGGAATCTTGACGTTAGGGTGTCAGGAGACGTGGAAGTGTTTCGGACGAGTAGGCAAAACGTGGCCTCACAGACGCTAAGTGACGCTAGAAGCGAGAGTAGTAATAGTTCTCATTTAACTGACAAATCCAGTAGTGACGAAACACGTTATAATAATAAAGATATGTTGTTGTTGAGAAGACTAAGAAATATAAAAAGTTCAGATAAAGATCTTTCTGAGACCCCAGAGCCCGTGATGGCAATAAGTGCGCATATAGACGGCGTCTCCGGCTCCTTCCCAACAGCGTCGCAGAAGATCAACGAGAGCGTCAAAGAAAAAGACACACTAGACAAGATAGACCCTCTGGTGAGACGGAAGGATCCCTTCAAGGAGGAGAGACCGTCGGGGACTCAGGAGACGAAGCCCGAGAGGGAGTCGTCGAGCAGGAACGCCAGCAGGAGCGACGGCCCACAAGAACACAGAGAGTACCTCTATATGGAGCAGAAACATATTGGGGAATACCACATGTCCGAAGACTGTCTCACCCTTAACGTCTACACGCCGATCGTGAGTACTCGCTCTCTCTCCTTCAATCCCCGACCGTCCAAGGGGTTGAGCACCATTCCTTTCCCCCCGTCCCATCCCAAATCCTTATCCTGACCCCCCCCCCCCCTACCAAGTGTTACATAGTCGTAATGGCTTGGCACTTTCCCCCTGATAATTCCATTCACCTTTATATTGGTTATGATAATTAGTCTTCCATCCAGGGAACACCTTCCTCTACTAACCATTGATGATAAAATTGACAAATACTGTACCCATTAACCATTGAAATAATACTCAGTATGTTTACAAATAAAATAATAACAATAATAATATTCTATTATTAATATTATTATTATTATTATCATACGTGGGTGGTGTTGAAGCACTCAGTGTTACAGAGGTGTTCTGAAGGTGCCCATCACTCTGATCAATCATGAAGGTCAAAATAAACCAGACTCGAACTGAGAGTAGTTTGTGAGAGTGATATCAACAGCTTCACTCCAGTTGTCTTCCCCCTCACGTAGCTGACCTTGTGCTCGTGGTGACCCTCTTGAGGTCACGACCCGCTCCACGTGCAGTGTTGACCTTGAGGGTGGAGCTAGTGAGCGGCTCTCAACCGATAGTACTGGTACTGTCAACCGGTAGTACTGGTACTGTCAACCGGTAGTACTGGTACTGTCAACCGGTAGTACTGGTACTGTCAACCGGTAGTACTGGTACTGTCAACCGGTAGTACTGGTACTGTCAACCGGTAGTACTGGTACTGTCAACCGGTAGTACTGGTACTGTCAACCGGTAGTACTGGTACTGTCAACCGGTAGTACTGGTACTGTCAACCGGTAGTACTGGTACTGTCAACCGGTAGTACTGGTACTGTCAACCGGTAGTACTGGTACTGTCAACCGGTAGTACTGGTACTGTCAACCAGTAGTACTGGTACTAAACATGTGTACTCACCTAATTGTGGTTGCGGGGCTTGAGGTCTGGCTCTTTGGTCCCGCCTCTCAACTGTCAATCAACCGTTGTACAGGTTCCCTGAGCCTACTGGGCTCTATCATATCTACATTTGGAACTGTGTATGGACTCAGCCTCCACCACATCACTGCCTAATGCATTCCAACTACTCTGACACTGAAAAAGCTTTTTCTAACGTCTGTGTGGCTCATTTGGGTACTCAGTTTCCACCTGTGTCCCCTTGTTCGCGTACCACCCGTGTTAAACAGTTTAGCTTTATCTACCCTGTCAATTCCTCTGATAATTTTGTAGGTAGGGATCATGTCTCTCCTTACTCTTCTGTCTTCTAGTGTCGTGAGGTGCATTTCTCGCAGCCTTTCTTCGTAACTCATGTAACACAATTCAGTTCTGGGACTAGCCTAGTGGCATATCTCTGAACTTTTTCCAGCTTCGTCTTGTGCTCGGCAAGGTACGGGCTCCATGCTGGGGCTGCATACTTCAGGATTGGTCTTAATTATGTGGTATACGAGGTTCTGAATGTGCGACTCTGCCAGTGGCTGACTCCGTCAGGATTATTTCACTTAGCACTGTTTTACGCAGGTTTTCCTAAGACAACCTCTCATCTATTGTAATATTTAGTCTATTGTTCCTGCAAATTTGTTTAAATAAATTTTGTGGAATAAATAATTAATTTTTTCCATCCAAAAGATTTCATAAAATTCAGTTAGAAATTAATAAGTAACTGAACCTATCTGATAATTTCCTTCACACTATTGTATTGAAACAGCAGGTTTGTTATACGTTGTCTTAAACCCAATTATTCGACGGGTAATAAGCTACACTTCTTATGTGGTGTCTATTTTTTTTGTTAAGTTTGTCTTCAATGTTTTGATAGCCACAGGCGTCAAAGAAACTGGGATATATACACCGAGGACTATACTCCCATTCTTCGATGTATATGTAGTGAGAGTTTACGGTAGTTGTGGACCATGTCCGGGACTAAACTTGCTGGTTGGTCAGAGTACTATTGTAGTGGCCTTAATAACCCTCCAGAGGATGATAGGCCTTAAGTCTATCAACACCAAACACCAAAAAAGTGGCAGTTATTGTTTTAGATTTAGCTACTGGGAACACACAGTTGCAAGCATCACGAGCTAGGGTGAGCCCGCGTACTCTAGGGTGAGCCCGTGTACTCTAGGGTGAGCCCGCGTACTCTAGGGTGAGCCCGCGTACTCTAGGGTGAGCCCGCGTACTCTAGGGTGAGCCCGCGTACTCTAGGGTGAGCCCGCGTACTCTAGGGTGAGCCCGCGTACTCTAGGGTGAGCCCGCGTACTCTAGGGTGAGCCCGCGTACTCTAGGGTGAGCCCGCGTACTCTAGGGTGAGCCCGCGTACTCTAGGGTGAGCCCCTTCGTACTCACCTGGCACACGAGATGTGCGCGTGGCATTTAATTTAAGTGGCGTTGACCGTAATTTAAGGTGACCTTTATATCGCCCTTTCTGTGCCTATCACTGACATTTCTGAGGAGCGACTAAGTAGTGCCAAGTGTGGCCCTTACCGACGGCTCTCTCAAGACTTGTCAATCTCACCTCAACCCTTGTCCATCTTCCTCCTGGGTCCACGTGTCGCCTTCTCCTTCAACCTCAACGCTTCTGTTTTAGCTACACATACGACATTTCAGAACATAGTCAGACCCAACATTAGTATTGTTTTAAGGAAGCTTTTTGCAAAAGGCAATAATGTCAGCCGTTTAACAATATATATATATAACTAAAGAAATGGACAAATGTAAATTGGGTTCAACAGAAAGTGTCATGGGAAATTCCTTAAGTATTGTAAACCAAGAGGTGCCGGGAAAAACAGATGCAATCAAGCGTTACATTTTTTTAATTCGCGATGGACACCCGGCAAGTGGATGACTGAGGCAAGTGGATGACTGAGGCAAGTGGATGACTGAGGCAAGTGGATGACTGAGGCAAGTGGATGACTGAGGCAAGTGGATGACTGAGGCAAGTGGATGACTGAGGCAAGTGGATGACTGAGGCAAGTGGATGACTGAGGCAAGTGGATGACTGAGGCAAGTGGATGACTGAGGCAAGTGGATGACTGAGGCAAGTGGATGACTGAGGCAAGTGGATGACTGAGGAAAGCGGATGCAGCGTTGACATTATCTTGCCATAGGAAACAAATTTAACTTAACCGTAAATTATACATTTATTTCCTCTATGCAGTAATTTAAAGGGTATCAACAGTCAACCAGTGCCCCAGCCAGGTGGAGGACGAGAGTATCAACAGTCAACCAGTGCCCCAGCCAGGTGGAGGACGAGAGTATCAACAGTCAACCAGTGCCCCAGCCAGGTGGAGGACGAGAGTATCAACAGTCAACCAGTGCCCCAGCCAGGTGGAGGACGAGAGTATCAACAGTCAACCACTACCCCAGCCAGGTGGAGGACGAGAGTATCAACAGTCAACCAGAGATGAGTCAACTATACCGCTCTTGGGACGGTAACTTAGTGTCCGGCAGCCATGTATCTCCCAAGAGGGGGTAGGTCAGGGACCAGGAAGCTTGCCGCGAGAGAGAGTAGGTCAGGGACGTGTCAGATCCTAATGAATAAAACCCATTTGTCATGTCGCTATTTCTTCCAGCTAGAAGGCGCCGGCAGCGGTGGCGGCGGCGGACGGTGGCGGGGGATCAACACCACTATGCCCGTCCTGCTCTTCATTCACGGCGGCTCGTTCTTCTCCAACGGCGGCCGCCTCTACCGCCCGGGGGAGTGTCTCGGTCCCTTCGGTGAAGCTCGCCTCTGAGGGCATTGTCGTCGTCACCATCAACTACCGCCTCGGCCCCTTCGGTGAGTGTCTCGGTCCCTTCGGTGAGTGTCTCGGCCCCTTCGGTGAGTGTCTCGGTCCCTTCGGTGAGTGTCTCGGCCCCTTCGGTGAGTGTCTCGGTCCCTTCGGTGAGTGTCTCGGTCCCTTCGGTGAGTGTCTCGGTCCCTTCGGTGAGTGTCTCGGTCCCTTCGGTGAGTGTCTCGGCCCCTCCGGTGAGTCGGTCTCGGTCCCTCCGGTGAGTATCTCGGTCCCTCCGGTGAGTGTCTCGGTCCCTCCGGTGAGTGTCTCGGTCCCTCCGGTGAGTGTCTCGGTCCCTCCGGTGAGTGTCTCGGTCCCTCCGGTGAGTGTCTCGGTCCCTCCGGTGAGTGTCTCGGTCCCTCCGGTGAGTTTCTCGGTCCCTCCGGTGAGTATCTCGGTCCCTCTGGTGAGTGTCTCGGTCCCTCCGGTGAGTGTCTCGGTCCCTCCGGTGGTGAGTATCTCGGTCCCTCCGGTGAATATCTCGGTCCCTCCGGTGAGTATCTCGGTCCCTCCGGTGAGTGTCTCGGTGAGTATCTCGGTCCCTCCGGTGAGTGTCTCGGTCCCTCCGGTGAGTATCTCGGTCCCTCCTCCGGTGAGTGTCTCGGTCCCTCCGGTGAGTATCTCGGGTGAGTATCTCGGTCCCTGCGGTGAGTATCTCGGTCCCTCGGTGAGTATCTCGGTCCCTCCGGTGAGTGTCTCGGTCCCTCCGGTGAGTGTCTCGGTCCCTCCGGTGAGTGTCTCGGTCCCTGCGGTGAGTATCTCGGTCCCTCCGGTGAGTGTCTCGGTCCCTCCGGTGAGTATTTTGGTCCCTCCGGTGAGTATCTCGGTCCCTCCGGTAAGTATCTCGGTTCCTCCGGTGAGTATTTCGGTCCCTCCGGTAAGTATCTCGGTCCCTCCGGTGAGTGTCTCGGTCCCTCCGGTGAGTATTTCGGTCCCTCCGGTGAGTATCTCGGTCCCTCCGGTAAGTATCTCGGTCCCTCCAATGAGTGTCTCGGTCCCTCCGGTGAGTGTCTCGGTCCCTCCGGTGAGTGTCTCGGTCCCTCCGGTGAGTATCTCGGTCTCTCTGGTGAGTATCTCAGTCCCTCCGGTGAATATCTCGGTCCCTCCAGTGAGTATCTCGATCCCTCCAGTGAGTATCTCGGTCCATTCGGTAAGTCTGTTGGTCCCCTTGGGTAAGAATCACGGCCCCTTTGGTGAATGTCTTAGTCCTACCGGTGAGTCTCTCGGTCCTATTGACGAGTCCCTCGGTACACTTGGTGAGTCCCTCGGCACACCTGGTGAGTCGCTCGGTACACTTGGTGAGTCCCTCGGTACACTTGGTGAGTCCCTCGGCACACCTGGTGAGTCGCTCGGTACACTTGGTGTGTCCCTCGGCACACCTGGTGAGTCCCTCGGTACACTTGGTGAGTCCATCGGTACACTTGGTGAGTCCCTCGGTACACTTGGTGAGTCCCTCGGCACACCTGGTGAGTCCCTCGGTACACTTGGTGAGTCCCTCGGTACACTTGGTGAGTCCCTCGGTACACTTGGTGAGTCCCTCGGTACACTTGGTGAGTCCCTCGGTACACTTGGTGAGTCCCTCGGCACACCTGGTGAGTCCCTCGGTACACTTGGTGAGTCCCTCGGCACACCTGGTGAGTCCCTCGGTACACTTGGTGAGTCCCTCGGCACACCTAGTGAGTCCCTCGGTACACTTGGTGAGTCCCTCGGCACACCTGGTGAGTCCCTCGGCACACCTGGTGAGTCCCTCGGTACACTTGGTGAGTCCCTCGGCACACTTGGTGAGTCCCTCGGTACACTTGGTGAGTCCCTCGGCACACCTGGTGAGTCCCTCGGTACACTTGGTGAGTCCCTCGGTACACTTGGTGAGTCCCTCGGTACACTTGGTGAGTCCTTCGGTACACTTGGTGAGTCCCTCGGCACACCTGGTGAGTCGCTCGGTACACTTGGTGAGTCCCTCGGCACACCTGGTGAGTCCCTCGGTACACTTGGTGAGTCCCTCGGCACACCTGGTGAGTCCCTCGGTACACTTGGTGAGTCCCTCGGCACACCTGGTGAGTCCCTCGGTACACTTGGTGAGTCCCTCGGTACACTTGGTGAGTCCCTCGGTACACTTGGTGAGTCCCTCGGTACACTTGGTGAGTCCCTCGGTACACTTGGTGAGTCCCTCGGCACACCTGGTGAGTCCCTCGGTACACTTGGTGAGTCCCTCGGCACACCTGGTGAGTCCCTCGGTACACTTGGTGAGTCCCTCGGCACACCTGGTGAGTCCCTCGGTACACTTGGTGAGTCCCTCGGCACACTTGGTGAGTCCCTCGGCACACCTGGTGAGTCCCTCGGTACACCTGGTGGGTCCCTCGGTACACCTGGTGAGTCCCTCGGTACACCTGGTGAGTCCCTCGGTACACCTGGCGAGTCCCTCGGTACACCTGGTGAGTCCCTCGGTACACTTGATGAGTCAAAACTTCTCCTGGTGTTCGTTTTCTTTCATTACCGTCTTGGCTGGCGTGGCGAACTAACCGACTCTTCCAAGATTTTAATTTGTCCTTGGAAGGCGAGTTCACTGGGCAGCGCCACTCATCTTGTGAGTGAGAAAAAGTCATAGGAGCATGTACATCACTCCCCAGTAGGAAGAAAACCCGGCTG